TTTAAAACATGATTTCTTATGACTATAGCAAAAGGGATCAAATTCATAAGAGGATACAATCATAGTTTCTCCAACTGATTTTGTGGAATGATGTCTTATAAACCAAAGTACATAGGTAATAGAAAAATGTTTACAATGTATTGTATACAAATCCCCACATCACTCTTCATCTTTGTCATGGTGTGTTTTAAGAAAGGATAGACCAGGCAGCTGTCACTAGAGGAAAGTTAGCACCATCTGTTGGAGAGTGACTTCACAACAAAAAATGATGTTCTCTGTTGACCTCATTAATCCCAACACTGTTTCTTCAAGGTACTTTTTAATTACACAAATTTCAAGACACTAATACCTACCCAAATACAATTTTTCAATTAGTGCTAGTTATCCACTATGACAGTAAAAAACAAAACTAGTTAATTAATCTGATTAAGATATTAATCAGATTTATTATTTAATATAGTTAAAATATTAGTCTTTTATTATTTGACTCCTTGATTAGACCTGATAATTAGCCCATTCTGAGCCATTTAAGAAATGGAAGAAAAGCTACTTATTCAACCACATACAGATTGCTTTAGAATAACAAATATTGGATGTATTGCTCAACATTGTAAACCTGTCTTGACTCCTTGAGTATCCATGATAATTAGAAAGAAACAGCAATAGCCTTGAATTGTGAACTTTACTAATAACCCAGAAACAGTAACTTTCTACATTCAAACTCTTCTCCCACGAATCTACTGATGATATTAAGAGGTTTGTGCTTCTCCTGTACCATTCAGAATAGATGCTCCTGAGAGACAAAAAGGATGGAAGAGATAGCCAGCTCACCTAACCTGCACAGTGTGCAGGTAGGTAGAGATAAGAGGAAAGTCCTAAGTGTTTAGATTCTAAATAACAGTAAGTTATTGTGATATCAGCAATTTCCCCACAGACATGTCTCAGGAGTAAACACCCAAATATTATAAATAAATTCATATGTGGCTCTATTTTAAATACAACATAGACTACTAATTTTAAAGACTTATAAAATTGAAAAAAAGATTCTGAATTTTTCTTGCAATACTCTTTATGAAACTGTGATTTCAATGAAAAAGTTTGAAATTTATTGACTTTTGAAAAGTCAGATAATGATATCTAAATGAGAAATGATACAAATTTTCCTAAAATATTTTCAAATCAAAGTCTCTCTTAGAAGAAAAATTAAGAAGCATTAAGCTGCTCCTCATAATTCTTAAAATGTATTAAATAAAAAGTAACGGAAGTAACAGTTACTTCGAAGAACAATATATTAAACTCTGGTGTAAAAATGAGGCTTTAGTTATTGAACAGTCGTCATATTTGCCAATTGTATACTCTTGGGGAATCCTCTGGCACTTTAGGAAGAACATTAACTCTCCTAAGTCTGTAGGGTACTATTTGGTGCCTTAAAGCAATGATTCAATAAAGCAATACTTTTGTGAATCTGCACCTAAGTTCTAGGACATGGGGTAAATACGAATATGTTTGTGAGTCCAGGGACAGGAAGGGTGTTTACTCTTGACCTCAGCCGTTCCCTTACCTCTTCAAATACCCTAACCCACCAAAGGGAAGACAAGATACAGCTTCATCAGTTACTCATCTCAACTGGTTTAAGGACCAAGGCAAAACACTGGCCAAGTCGACCGTAACATTCCTTGGTTGGCCATGCCAGACAATGTTCTCTCAGGCCTTCCAACCAGAAAGCAGCTTACTTACACTTTACACTAGCTGCCTCAAATCATGTCTAGAAAAAAGAACATATGTTTTTATGTAATATAAATAATTATGGCTCCACAACTTATTTTATATCAGTTCCAGCCACCTTTTAAGTTCAAGTTACTAAGGGAAACTCCTTACATGGTGGAAGACCGTTTCCTCAAGTACTTACATCAAAAGGAACAGAAAAAAACACTTCCCATCCATACATGCAGGCTAAGTATTTTTGGATACTCCTACAAAGCTGTTTTCAAACTGTAAACAGCTTTGTGGGTTTTTTCTATATTCATTAAAAGCATTTTAAAAATAATTTGATAATACTAAAAGAAGAAAGCAAGTATCAGAGTATAATACCTATACCTGGAAAATTATATTTATACATGAACATACAGATAAACTTATTATATAGAGACAGGATCTTGCTCTATCACTCAGGCTGAAATGCAGTGTAAAGGCAGAAACATAGCTCACTGCAGCCTCAAACTCCTGGGCTCAAGCAATCCTCCTGTCTCAGCCACCTGAGGAGCTAGGACTATAGGCATGTGCCACTATGCTCGGCTAATGTTTTTTAAAAATTTTCTGTAGAGATGGGGAGACTCTCTTCTCTTATGTTGCCCAGCTAGTCACAAACTTCTAGCTTTAAGCAATCGTCCCAACTTTGCCTCCCAAAGTACCAGGATACAGGCATGAGTCACCACGCCTCGCCAATATGTTTTTGACTAAATAGGTTCATTGTGGCTGGGCGTGGTGACTCACACCTGTAATCCAAGCACTTTGGAGGCCAAGGCGGGCAGATCACCTGAGGTCGGGAGTTCAAGACCATCCTGACCAACATGGTAAAACCTTGTCTTTTAAAAAATAAAAATAAAAATAAAAATAAATTAAAAAATGAAAAAAAGAATAGCTTCATCATTTACATGTCTCAGTTGATTTTTCCCCAATAAACAATATGCCAGGGATGAGTAATTGTGACTACCCACAAGGTCAAGTTTCTTTTCTTTGCAAAAATGGAGTAGGTTGAATAGTGGCCCCCAAAAATACATGTCCAAGTCCTATCTTCAGGTATCTATCCTTATCTGGAAAAAGAGTCTTTGCAGGTGTAAGTGAGGATTTCAAAATGAGATCGTCTGAATTAACAAAGTAGGCCCTAAATTCAATGACAAATGTTCTTATAAGAGATAGAACAGAGGATACGGTAGGTGGCTGATATCATTTGGCTCTGTCACCACCCAAATTTCATCTTGAACTGAGCTCCCATAATTCCCACCTGTTGTGGGAGGGACTCAGGGGGAGATAACTGAATCATGGGGAGATAATTGAATCATTGGGGCAGTTCCCCCATACTGTTCTCCTGGTAGTGAATAAGTCTTACGAGATCTGATATTTTTATAAGGGGAAACCCTTTAGGAAAAAAAAAAGGGGGGAACCCCTTTCGCTTGGCTGTCATTCTCTTGTCTGCCACCATGTAAGATGTGCCTTTTGCCTTACGCCATGATCGTGAGGCCTCCCCAGTTTCAGGTATGTCTTTATCAGCAGTATGAAAATGGACAAACACAATGGCTCACACCTGTAATCTCAACTTTGGGAGGCCAACACAGGAGGATCACTTGAGCCTAGGATTTTGAAATCAGCCGGGGCAAGAGAGACTCCATCATTAAAACAAAAAGGGAGAGAAAGAAAGAAAGAAAGAGAGGAGGCCATGTGAAGACAGAGGTGGAGACTGGATTTATGTATCCACAGCCAAAAAATGCATGGGGCCACCAGAGACTGGAAGAAGCGGAGTATTCCCCTTAAGTGCCTTCAGAGAGACTATGGCCCTGCAAAGACACCTGGATTTCAGACTTCTGGCCTCTGAACTACAAAAGAATAAACTAAGCCACAAAATTTTTGGTGCTTTGTTACGGCAACCCTAGCAAACGAACACATAGTGAGCATTCTAAGTTTTTGTATTATGAACCCAGCCTGCTCTCCAGCCCCATTTTCCAGCTCTTCTCCAGCTTTATGCTCCTGTTTTGCCTCGTTTACTATATTGCCCAAAGCCTTTGCATGTGCTGTTCCACTGCACTAATTACTCTTCTCCATTCTTTACCCATCTCTTCAAGACTTGTTCAGGGAATGTAAGTGAGCCCTGCTCACCACCCGACAATGCCCCTTATCAGCAGCATACAGTTCTTTTCATAGCCCTGTATCATAGTTTGTATCTTTACCAGTGTGATTGTTAGAATCTGCCTCCCTACCAAATTCTACTCTGCAGGGGAATAGGCACGGTTCCTCAGCTCCCCACCATTGTATTTCCAGTCTAGCCCTGTACCTGCTGTGCCAGAGCAATCCCTTCTGAATGAATGAAAAGCCACCTTTCCAGGAGAGCTGCAGTCCCAGGAACCTCCACAGCCTCTGGAAGGGCTGTGAGCTAGGAAGGGTGACCACGACATGTATTCTTCAAAGCCTATCACTTCTGAGAGCGAAAAGGTGCACTCTTCACACTTAGGAGTTACCAAGTTACAGTTCTAGCCCTGAGTAACAGGCTATGCCTGCTGGCCACGGAACAAAGCAAAGACAAGAATCTAACTAGAAGGGGAGGGGCTACATTATGAGGGACCGGGGAGAGGGTAATTTAAATTTGCTTACCTGTCCCTGCATTTTAACTCGCGTCTTCTATACTGCTGCTCATTCGTTGGTCCCCCTCTATAGAATGTAAGCTCTGAGGGGCGGGGCTTGGCCTGTTTGTTCATTGCTATATCCCACGTTAAGTGCCTGGTGCATAGTAGCCGCTCAATAAACATCTGAATGAATGTACTCACAGCTTAGTGTTATGCTCCAAGGGAATAAAGGATGAAGAATCATAATACTTAAAAATCCAACAGGCCAGGCATGGTGGCTCACACCTGTAATCCCAGCACTTTGGACGGCCCAGCCAGAAGCTTGAGCCCAGGAGTTCGAGACCCACTGGGCAACACAGTGAAACCCCCATCTCTATTAAAAAACAAATCTGAACAAAACCGAGACTTCACAGTTGGAAAGCGGAAGGCTCAAGACCAGAGGGGTAGGAGGCCTACCCAATTGCCAAGGTCGTGGGCCGAGGACGATACGCTGAGGGGAGAGGCGGCTGGGCGCGGACCTGGTTGAACACGGCTCTCACCGACCCCACCTCCGCCCAGCCGCAGCCCCACCACCACCTCTGGGTCCCCAGGCCCCCTCTGGCCTCCGCCCTCCTGACACACCCAGATCCCCGCAGCCCCCTCCCCTAATTCCGTCGTACTCCAGGAACCCCCATCCGCAGATCCCATATGGCCTCGGAACCCCGGCGCTCCTGTCCTCGGGATTCCCGCGGCCCCCGGGCCCTCGCCGGCCCCGACCCCGCCCCCGGGCAGTGCGTCCAGGCTCGTGCCGTGCAGCGCCCCCTCCGCGCCGGCCTCTGCGGCTGCGCGCTAGCGGGGCTGAGGCCGAGGGGAGGGGGTCGCGCCGGGGGCCGGCGGAGCTCCTGTGGCGGCAGCGGTGTTAGCGGGAGACGGAGCGAGCCCAGCGGCCGCGGGCAGACCCGAAGGGAACGGAGGAAGCGGTCATGTCTCGCTACACGAGGCCCCCCAACACCTCCCTGTTCATCAGGAACGTCGCGGACGCCACCAGGTGAACGGCCGCTGCTGCAGGTTGGGGGCGCGGAGGAGGGGTAGGGTAACGGCCGCGCCGCGGAGCCCGGCCGAGGCCCGGCGGGGCTGCACGGAGCCTCCCCGCGGGCCCTGGCTGCGCCGCCGGCGGAGGCACCTCCCCGGGGGAGGTGTGAGCCTTCGGGCCACTCCGCGGCCTGGGCGGGACTCGCGCGTCCGCCCTCCCGGCCGGGGTTCAGCCCAGGCGCCGCGCACACAACGTCCCGGGCCCTCGCCGCTTTCCCCGCCTCGGCACCTCAGCTGGCGGGCGGTGGGGCAAGGGGCACCCCTCTTCGGGGCCCGGGTCGCTCCCCGCCTCGAGCCGGGAGGGTTTGCGCTCCAACGATTGCCCGCGTTTCAGCCCCTTTGTCACCGTGCCGCGATAAAACCGCGCGTCCAACCCTTGTAGGAGAAGAGGAATTGGGGCTGGTGAGAACGTACTGTACCATAATGCGTACTCGGGCCTTACAGTTTCTTTCCCCCAGTTCTGATCTACTTACAAACGGTGCTGCTTACATTTTATTCACATAATTTTATTCTGCATACAAAAGATAACTTCAGCGAATGAGATCAGTGCGTTTTTCTTTCAAGTTCTGAGTCCAGTATTAATACCCCTTTTAACGGCTTGGATGGACTCACCTGGTTGATCCTGATGCTCAGTCCCTGCTGCCCCACCCCGTCCTCCTTTGAGATGTCTGTCCACAGAGTGTCTCAACACAGATTTTAGGGAATGACTTCTTCATATAGCACTTGCTTCCTTAATGGAGCTGGAGGGATTGGGGGCGGGGGCAGGGAACGGTGTTAATAGACATTTTCATTTCGCTATGCTTATTTCATTTACTTGCCCCTAACCTTTCTACCTATGCAATATTGTTTTATTGTACATAAGGGAGAGCAGAAGCTACGAGTTTTTTGTTTTTTGTTTTTTCCATGCTGTTCTCAGCAAACAATATAAGAAGCTAAGAGTTTTAATGACTTACCTGGGGCCAGACAGGTGCAGATATAAGGAGCTCTTGACTCCATAGTCATCTGGAGTATCATAATTTACCTTTGAGGAGTAAATAAACGTTAAGTATTTTTTTATTATTTATGTTTTTGAGACAGATTCTCACTCTGTCTCCCAGACTGGAGTGCAATGGCCCAGTCTCGGTTCGCTGCACCTCCACCTCTTGGGTTCAAGCGATTCTCCTGCTTCACCTCCTTAGTGATGGGAGTACAGGCATGTGTCCCCTCACATCTGGCAAATTTTTGTATTTTTAGTAAAGATGATGTTTCGCCATGTTGGCTAGGCTTTCCTGACCTTAACTGATCCACCCGCCTCAGCCTCCCAAAGTGCTAAGATTACAGGCGTAAGGCACCGCGCTCCGCCAAGTATTTTTTATTTGATCACCCAAGTACATATATCACAACTGTATGCTGTGATTAATATATCTTAGTTAACATCTAAAAGATGCCTTGTTTGCATTTCTTCTCTCAGCCTGTTTATCAATATATTACATAGAAAACGAGCAAAATTCATAATTTGGGCAGAATAAAAAAAAATCTTGCAGTTGAACAGTTTGAAAACGGAATAAGTATCAAGCCTCTTCAGGGTGTATGCAGAAAAATCAGAGGTTTCCAATTCTAATGGCCACAGGAATTGAAGCTGCCAGCTTATAAGGCACAGTAGGATGGTGTGGACTGTAGCAAACAGAAAAGGAAATGTGACATCTAAAAGCAGCATCTGCCTCTAAACTCCATCTGACAGCTGCTATGTGACATTTGGACTTCTTGTTGACATTATCTTTCTAGTTTTCAAGAGAAGTCAGAAATCTGGATTTTGTATGTATAAACTCAGTCTTTAGATGTTAGCATTTAGTAAGTTTAAGCCTATGAAAATCCCATTTGTAGAATTAAAAGCTGTAAAATATAAGGCCCGGTGCGGTGGCTCATGCCTGTAATCCCCACACTTTGGGAAGCCGAGGCAGGGGGATCACTTCAGGCCAGGAGTTTTAGACTGGCCTGGCCTACATGATGAAACCCCATCTCTACTTAAATACAAAAATTAGCCAGGAATGGTGGCTCGAGCCTGTAATTCCAGCTGCTTGGGAGGCTGAGGCACAAGAATCGCTTGAATCCCGGAGGTGGAGGTTGGCAGTGAGCTGAGATCAGGCCACTGCACTCCAACCTGGGCAATAGAGTGAGACTTTGTCTCAAAAATAAAAATAAAGAAAGTTGTAAAATATAGCCTGGTGTGTGACACACCTGTAGTCGTGTTTACTGGGGAAGCTGAGGTGGGAGGATCACTTGAGCTGGGGAGGTCAAGGTTACAGTGACCTATGATTACACCACTGGACTCCAGCTTGGGTGACAGAGAGACCTTGTCTCTAAACCAATAAAAGCTGTGGCCGGGCGTGATGGCTCATGCCTGTAATCTCAGCACTTTGGGAGGCTTAGGTGGGCAGATCACAAGATCAGGAGTTTGAGACCAGCCTGGCCAATATGGTGAAACTCTGTCTCTACTAAAAATACAAAAATCAGCTGGGCGTGGTGGTACATGCCTGTAGTCCCAGCTACTTGGGAGGCTGAGGCAGGAGAACTGCTTGAACCTGGGAGGTGAAAGCTGCAGTGAGC